ATAATTTAATGAATAGGAAGCATATCAAACTTTAACATCCCGTGATGTAAGTAAATTCGAGCTGTTTATGCCATTGTCTGTAGTCATCTCACCAAATCAGCAAGTATTCACAACTTTTGTCTGCGATTCATATCAGACTGAAATTAATCTGCGACTATCAGAGAATAACACAAATATGTACAGTGAAATATGTGGAGTTAACAAACGGTAAATTCATATGTAACTGTAATGTTTGTTTAGAGTAAGGGGGGGGGGGGGGTAAATGAGAATAAGAGTTTTAAAAAAAGCTTGAAAAAGTGGCGAGCAGTCCTTAAAATTTAAATTGAGTCCAACTATTTTTTTTCAAACCATGTCTAAGTACGACGTCGCTGAAGGATTTGATTTAAAAAAATGTTTGTTCGGACGAATTATATATTTGTTCGGACCCCCCAATCGCGCCGTATGTTTAGATTATAGTGAGTAAGATAACTGCTTGAACTCAAAATGTGGTATTTCTATTGATTTAGTCGATATAAGTTACACTACATGGCTGTAGGAACCTGAGAAGGTTTGTTTGGTAGTGGCCTAGCTTCTTCTACTGCAGTCGCCTGCGTGGTGCAGTGGTTAGAGCGTCTGCTCTAGAGTCGCGAAGTAAAGAGTTGATCCTTACGTCGCGGGTTCGAATCCCACTGTGGGACGTGGAAACTGGTCCTTCGGATGAGACCGTATAAACTGAGGTCCCGTGTCGCAGTAGGTGTTGGCACGAAAAAGATACCTCACTGCTCAATGGCCCTGAGTGCCGAGTATAGGACAGAAATATGCAGCTCTCCACCGGCAAATGGTGGCGTCTCCATTTTTTTAAAGAAAAAATACTGTTTTCAGTATTTTAATACTCAATAATACAAACAGTATTTTTTAATACTGTTTGTACAGTTTAATACGTACAAACTGGTGTTTGTTTTCACTGAATAACTTAAATATCTCGGATTACTGACTGGAATAGCATTACATTTGAGATAGGATAGATACATAGGGCACACTGAAACATTATGCAATAAAACTTTTGTTTGTCTTGCCCTAGCACTTTTTGGATAAATTCGACATTTAATTTTTTGACCTAAATAGGAGCCCACGTGACTGTAGAGGGTCACATGATGACAAAAAATACCGATGTGAAAAGCGATGGACAAACTCTTAAAAAGGGCATGAAGAAGTTTCATGCTTAAAAATAAGACGGTTGAATATTAAGTGTATCGTTTTCGGTGCCTGTTTATAGAAAATTTTGCCTTAACTGTACTGCGTAGGACGCAAAATGTTAAAAGAAGAGAAAAACTATCATAGTGATGGCTCATTAGTAAGTGATAGCTAAGTCGATCTAGTGTGTTTTATTTGAATGTAGTCTATAAACGTAATATCTAATTCTGTAAAGTATATTTGAGCGGGGTTTAGACTAGTCGAAGTCAGTGATAGTTAAGTATAAAGTATAGGTTAACAAAGCAACATGTTTTAACAGATCCTTGTTTGCTCGGCTCCAAATTTATTTTTTTTTTCGAGGGACTTTTGAGCTATATATTGCTTGTTACCTTCTTATTTCATGGCTCATATATTCGACCTAAACGAAGTAGTAAATGATACCATATTGATACGATTTAAAAAGTCAATATAATACTTTATCTACAATAAAGTATATGTTGAGTGTAATCTATAAATATCTTCTATAAACAATCACATGTATTTGGCAGTTTAACAGACATTTAATATAACTGTGCATGTATTTAAGAGAAGCTGTCTGTAACCATTGAGAATTATCTTTAAAAAAGTGGAAAGTGCAAAAATCACAAATCTGAACGAAACTTTCACACTTTTGTGCATAGTGATAGTAAATTATAAAGAAGTAAAAAATACTGGAATTGTGCATCGTGTTACTATGTGTCATCAATGAAGGTCAGAAAAGAGCATTTATAACTTCTTTTCAGACATTATTTTTTCTGAGGCACAACGAGTTTATCATTAATTGTGCATGCCTTTTTTAAGACAGCTGCTTATGCTACCAATATAGTAAATAAAAACAGTAAAACAATTTACTCTTTTTTTGTAAAAGCTAAAAACACTCTACACTAGTTCCTTCTATTTTACTAAATGATTATCCCCCTTGATGCGAACTCTCTAGAATTAAAGGAAGAAATGAATAATCAGTGCTCATCAGACATCAACTTGCAACAATTTCCTGAAAGGTAATGTATACATTTGCATTTTTTCCTGCAAATCAAGTTTTCTTAGTTAGTTAATGGTGAAGTTAGAATCTGTAATAATTTCAAATTCATACAAAATGTCTTGATTTGCAGATGTCACACCTATATATGTTTACAATACATATCTGATATCAACAGTCAAAAATCGATCATAACAAAATTCATGTCGGAGTATGAATATTGTATTTATTCAATAAATTTATTACATATACACCATTTAATAAAATATTTTGATGATTTTATTTAAATGGATTAACTCACTGATTACTGAAAATGAATATGATAAAGGGCCTATATCATCCCCTAATATGGCATGAGATCAATATCTTGTTTTGCATTTATAAACCCGGCATATTAAATGTGAACTTCTTGATCATCATTTAACTTGTTTACAAATGTTACTTCCGAAATGAATTAAATTTTTGAGTAATTTTATCGCTTGTTTTCAGAATTACAAAAATGGATTTCCCATGTACATTTCAAGCAATATCAAGTAAAATATGTGGTGAAGGCAGGCTGAGGACATTAGATGAGACAGTTAAATGTAACATACTATCAATTTCTCAATGTAAAAAGACATCTGGGACCACCTTTTCAAATTTATTTTATCGAAGGAAAATATACAAAGTGAAGCTGATTTGCAAAGACTGCGGGGAGGCTTTTTTGACCCAAATTTCAGCATTACTGATTGACCTGTGCATATAGGACAGAATACGGCACAGAATGGTGACGATCATCTTTATGCATGGTGCAGATTCAGTGTGGGAAGGGAGGAAGTAAAAAACCATATAAAGCTTTGGAGAAGACATCTGTCACATCTGTCAGCATTGAACAAAGCAAATTTATATTTGATAAAGGTAATATACTTATTTCTGTTGGCTCAGGTAAACTGCTGCTTCACAATTATTTTTATTTTATCAAAAATGTCAAGAATGCTATGAAATAAATCAGACAAAAGTTTCTCAGGTCTTTTAATTTTTAAAGGATTTATTTGTTTTTTATTCTTTCATGAGAAAGTTATTTGTCACTTGTTACTATCAAGTCAACATCTTGTGAAACCTGGAAAACTTACACATTATTGTATGCAAAAATATATTGATAATCAATCATTTTTGTAGGAATATGTGGGAAGTGCAGAACAGGGTGTGTTCCCCGAACGTCTACTGGACTAAACCAACATCTAATTATCACACTCAATTAAGGGGCCCTTTAAGGGGTACAGGTAGGATCTACAATCATTTATGAACTAGCTTTACATGTATTTATTGAAGGAGGAATTCTACAGCAACAATAATGTTTGACATCTCTTCTGAAACATGGTTTCAGCGTGGAAATATTGATAAAAGATATTTATTGTTTTAACATGATTTTTTTTTCAGGGGAAATGTAAAAATCTTGAAGATTTTATGCATTAGTTAAAAAATGCTAAAAATAATGTTTTATTTTCATAAATAATTTTTTAGCAAAAATAAAAAAAAAAACCCTTATCTGATTTTTCTTGACATTTTCTATTAAATATTTATATTATCCATTTATTTAGGGCAAACTTTAAACTCTAAAGGATCTTATTTGCAATTAAAACAATCTTTTCATTTTCTCCTAAAAAAGCCCCCAAAATTCATAAAAAATAATTTAAACTAATATCGATCTTTCCATATTTAAGCCATATTTCAGAGGAGATGTCTTAAAGATCGGTAAAATAAAATTTCCGTGAACATGTAAGTAGCATTCTTTCTTAAACAGGAAAAATCTATCGATCATATGTCATTTTAAATAAATTTTGCTTTATAGATACTTTTGATTTAATTTCGTTTTAATCATCATTTCAAAGCATTAATTTTCAATATTATAACAATAAATAATTTCAAAATCTTTGTAAGTTTGTATCATAAAAATCAATCACAATATACATGTAATTTATTTGGGTAAAGAAAATCTATCAAGAAGAGTAAGATACGATTATATTTGGAAAAAAAAAATCATTTTGAATCCCCCCCCCCCAACTTTAGATATTGCTTCCAAACAAAGAGGTAGCAATGGTTCAAACAGTGGGAGAAGGGGCAATCCCCAGCGAAATCTAACAAGTAAAATTTAATAAATTAAAAAAAAACCTTGAAAATCCTATTTTGTGTGTTCGTGTATGGGAAGGGGTGGACTTTCTCTGTTTGTAGATTTTTTTTTCAAGTGCTGGAATATTCGCCAGTGCCCGACCTTACAGCAACAGAGTGTAAGAGGGGGCAACATCTAAATGAAAATTTACATATTAGATCTAGAGGAATAGACTATACTACAGGAAAAGTCTTTGCTCACAAAAATGCCCCCTCTCCCCTTTTCGTTCTATGGACCTGTAAATGCAATGTGAAAAAAGTTCTCCATGTTTAATATAGATTAAACAAAGCTTAAAATGTTAAAATGTGGTGTAAGTGATGCTTCAATTAAGTGCCAAGTGTAAGGTTAAAAAAAGTTATGCTTAATTGAAAATAATTTATAATAAATTATTTATTACATGTACATGTACATGAAAAAATATTTAATTGTTTAGTGCCTTCAACTATAGCAAGTATTTAATCAATAAATCTATGCTTTAGTACACAGTTTTATCAGTAAATATTAAATTATTTGATTTTGACTACTTTGTTCAATCAAGGTAACACAGGTAAACTCTACCTGGACCCCTTAGAGGGCCTCTTAATTGAGTGTGATAATTAAATAGTTTTTTTAGCCAGTAGACGTTCGGGGAATAAACCCAGAACAGAACTGCTCCAAAGAATGGAAGCTACAAAAGACAGTACTATAATGGTAAATATCAGGGTTCTCCACAAGGAGTTTTACCATGGCGGCCCGCCATGGTTAAATTTATGTGCGCCATGGTTAAACAAGCTGCGTCATGGTTAAAATCGGCGGCCGCCATGATTAATTTTTTATTTAATTTCAGTATTGATACCTCCTTTTTAATGACGAGTAGTTAATTGTGTTTATACTACGACTGCCATGCACCTCGCACGCCACGAGGGGAAGCGTCCGACTGGGCTAAACAAACACGGTCGTTGATCGGCGAATATGCTGTGAAACGTGGAGAGTCAATCAGCTGATGATCAATATCTTGAGAGTTAATTATCCTTTACACATGTAATTTCGGGAAATTCCAAAGTGTTCACTATACGATATACAGATTTACAAAAGATGACATAACGAGCAGTAACAACATGATAATCGACACGCATCCGATTCAAGTTTCTGTGCCCAGAAAAAAATTAACCCTTTCAAAATTTCCTATTCTTTGTATTTAATCAATTCCTCATGCTTTGTTTTTAAGTATTAACTTTATTATCTTTCTAATAAAATGTACATAAGAGCCAATCGACGTCTTAGGTTTAGAGTTACGTCCTGTTTTAGGAAACGTCGCGTGCTGCTATTTTTAGCACTGGGGCACGTGGAGAAGTAAACAATGGAGGAAACTCGGCGAAAATTGCAATATGTAAAAAAAAAAAAAAAAAAAAAAAAAAGAAGTTTTAGAAGAAAAAACAGAATAGAAAAGGAAAATTACAGTTATGTCAAATATATGCCCCTGGTTATATTAATTTACTTTTACCATGCATGCCATCAGTAAGGTTTCATGCAGTTAAAAAGCTTAGACATAGACAGGATGTCGGTGTTCGTGCGTCTGTTTATTTGTGTGTCTGTAACTATTTTTTTTTTTCAAAATACTTCCCATTTATCAGTTTTAGTCAAATTTAAATAAAAAGTTTCATACAACAGGCAACATCAATTCTGTACATCAGTTTTTGAATAATGTTGCCATGGTTACTCTATCACTGAAATATTTTGTTTTAATTCCTTCAAACTGTTCCTATAGGTTTGGGCCAATTATGATACACATTTGTAAAGTAAGATACATAATCTTATTTATTTTTAGCTTTAAAAATTATTGGTTATTTCAACATTTTGTGTTGCAGTGGTTATAAGTTTTGTGAAACCAATCATTGATTAATGAAGGTTAGGAAGTCTAACACACATTCGTGTTTTCGGTCACATTTCACCTTCGCGCAGCTTCCTCCATGGTTAAATTTTCAAATGTGGAGAACCCTGAAATATATTGCAGTGTACATGCATGTATACTAGTTACCATATAAATTACAATATATCATTGTCAAATATATTTATTTCAAAAGAAGATAAACATTCTGTTTAACAAATTATAATATGTACTGAGAAATATTACACCACAACACACAACAATGTTAAAATCCTTTAATTAGAAACGCCCCAAACTGAAATTGGTGAGCACACTATAAATTGTCAATTATGCATGTTTAAATTACACCACTGCTGTGTAAATGCTGAGTCCAGTTTTTTATTGTCTTTGAGCCTTACAGCTCATCCATCAAACAAATACAGACCTGTACAAGTATAAGGTAACAGGAGAGTGAAATAACAATGTACATATATACAATAAAAACTTAATTTGCCAGATCAGGTGAAGTGAGGGGATATTTAGGAATGACCTAGTCAACTATGATATAGTTGTCGTGATATTCTAAGATATAAGATCAGTATCATCAAATGATAAGCTAAATTCATTGATGAAGAACAAATGATTACATTTGATTTTTATCTCACCTGAGCTATAAGCTCAAGTGAATTTTACTGGTCATCTGGCATCTGTCTGTCTATAAGTTTTTCACATTTTCAACTTCCTCTCAAAAACCATTCGGTCAATTTCGCCCAAACTTATCATCTTTGAGTAAAGGGGATTCAAAATTTTTCAAATGAATCATGCCCCTTTCTAGGGGGAATAATCAAAGAAACAGTAAAAATAGAGAGAGTTTCTTAATTTTTTTCTAAAGAACTGGTAAGATAATATGTATATTCCTTAAATTATTCCAGGCTCAGGAAATGTATTCTGAAGTAGAAATGGATGCTGAGAGTAGTGTATCTTTCTTGGATGAAGCTAGGAGTGAACAGCCTAATAAGGTAAAGGAATGCAAACATAAAGCCAATTATTTTTTATATCCCCACCATGAAATGGTTGGGGCAAGTCTTGCCCCTTTCCTTCTGTCATTCCATTATTCTATCATTCTGTTATAGTTACTTTTCCAGACTTTCTAGCTCACCTGAGCTGAAAGTGAAAGTGGTCTTTTCTGATCACAATTTGTCTTGTGCCTTCTGTCTGTCCGTCCAAAACGTGAAATCAAACATATGCAATGACTATGTTTTTGTAACCCAAATCATTAGAACATATTTGCTGAAATATGGCACTATGCATGATTTTTACACCTTCATGGATTTAGCTTCATGTAAATGACACAGCACATGGTACTGTAATTTTAAATTTTTTTTTCCAGGGGCAAGTGCTTATGGACAGCCAAGGAGAGGATGAATTTTCAGTGACAGAAACAGCTTCCTCACAGTTTTCTTTGAATTCTGAGTGGAAGGATTCTCAGGAGAGTCCCTCAAGAATAAGAAAAGCAGCACTGACTGAATTTTATCAGCAGTAGATATAAGCCCCATAAAAAAAAACTCTGAGTGTTGACTTTGACCTAGCTTCTGAGAGGACAAAGAATGATTACGACAAGAAAGGGAAGCAAATAATGCATGGTGTTTTACAGATTCAGGTCCCTGAACAGGAATCGAAAATAGAAAATGCTTTATATTCAATGCCAGATACAGAGAAGATGTTAGAATCTGCCTCTTGTGCCTATAATAGTATTGTAAGTTGGGGAGCTCAGAGACAGATTCTTAGTTTATTAGTTCAACACTACAGCTATAATGATTTGAAAAAAATACCCCAGAGCTGACTCGTTATAAGTATTCTGCTGCACGTAAACATGCTGCAACATTTGGTGTTGCAACTCCTGTCCCTGACAAAAAGCAAGTCAAATAAAAAGTTTCATCTCAACAAGTAGAGTACTTCCTGGATTTGATTATGTCCCCAGCCATTATGACAGATGCACCCTTTGGAACATCCAAAATTATCACTTTAATTAATACAGCTATGTTGTCTCCATGGCTACACCATAATATAGCAATAACTTTCAATATTTCTTTATACCGTCTGTGTCACGCACAAGGTCTTGAAGATATATATTTAGCAGTATTCATTCATTAAGTTGACAGTATTAATCAAACCTTAACCACAAACTGTGTGTTTCTATGATATTTTACCATAGTAACCATATCTATTTTCAAAATAGATTGCTATAGTCTTTGTGCATAAGGCCAAGTACTTGTTTTGTTTGGGTATTTTTTTTTACTATTGGCATTTAGGTTTCATCACATTACACCTATCGTTAATGAATACTGAGCATTTTCAGCTTGTAAATTGTATGCAAAATGTATCCATGGTTACCATCATTTTAGGGATATCCAAATCATTTTTTTGCAGCATAGGTAGCAACATGGTGTAATTGTAAGTGGTCAAATTGATTTTTTAGTATTTGTCAAGATTTAATAAAGATTCATAGTAGAAAAAAATCTCAATTTTTTTCATTTTCTTAGCTCACCTGAGCTGAAAGCTCATATGAGCTTTTCTGATCACCCGTTGTCCGTCCGTCCATCCGTCTGTAAACTTTTCACATTTTCAACTTCTTCTCAAGAACCACTGGGCCAATTTTAACCAAACTTGGCACAAAGCATCCTTGGGTGAAGGGGAGTTTAAATTTTTAAAATGAAGGGCCAAGTCTCATTGCAAGGGGAAATAATCAAGAAAAGGCAAAAATAGGGTGGGGTCATTAAAAAATCTTCTTCTCAAGAACCACTGGGTCAGAAAAGCTGAAACTTATGTGGAAGCATCCTTGGGTAGTGTAGATTCTCAATTGTTAAAATCATGACCCCTGGGGGTAGGGCGGGGCCACAAAAGAGGAATCTAAGTTTTACATGGAATTATATAGGAAAAATCTTTAAAAGTCTTCTTCTCAAGAACCATTGGGCCAGAAAAGCTGAAACTTATGTGGAAGCATCCTTGGGTAGTGTAGATTCTAAATCACAAAAGGGAATCCAAGTTTTACATTGAAATAAATAGAAAAAATCTTCTTCTCAAGAATCACTGGGCCAGAAAAGCTGAAACTTATGTGAAAGCATTCTGAGGTAGTGTAGATTCTAAATTGTGAAAATCATGACCCCCGGGGGTAGGTCGAGGCCACAATAGGGAATCCAAGTTTTACATTGAAATGAATAGGAAAAATTATAAAGAATCTTCTTCTCAAGAACCACTGGGCCAGAAAAGCTGAAAATTATGTTGAAGCATCCTTGGGTAGTGTAGATTCTAAATAAATTGTCAGAATCATGACTTCTGGGGGTAGGGCGGGGTCACAGTAGGTATTACAAGGGGGAAGCATGGCCAAAGTTATTCAGGTGAGCGATGTGGCCCATGGGCCTCTTGTTTTATCTGTTACCATGGCAACCAAGACATTTAACAACCAAATTTTTTTGATATTTGTTTCAGGTATGAAGCCATGTATTAATGAGGAGAGTTTCATCAAAATTGGTGACTATGCATGCCAATAAAATTGCTTACAATGAGTGTCTCTTAAACAGATTTTTGAAAATGTTGCTGAATTTAAAAAAAAAAAAAAATTGTCATTTTGGTCAGGTTAGGAACAAAAAACAAAAAGTTGTTTAACTGATTATATTTTTTAAAATAGAAATCTAACATTTGTTATTTCTTTCTATATGAAAGACTTTACCAGACTGTGTTGTGCCCCTGAAAAATGGTAGCTCAAAAATCTGTTGTTTTGTTAAATATTTGATTGTATAAAATACAAGTTATTTTGGTTGCCATGGCAACCATGTTTAGTAAGATTTAAAAAAATGTATTTCATAAAAAGTTTATTTAAGCATTGATAATTTACCTTAAACTTAAAAAAAAGGTATCTCACAATCTTAATTGTATTTATTTTGCACTTAAAAAGGTATATTATTCAGTTTTTTAAAGGCCTTGTTAGTTGTTACCATGGTAACAACAAAGTGATCAATAAAATTTTATAAACTGAGTTTAAGAAACTTACCCATGTGTTTTTATTAATTTTATCAATAATGCTATTTATAATGATAGGATTTTTTAATAAATTTTTTTTTGCACTTTCCAAAAAATTCTTGATGATTACAGACAGCTTCTCTTAATATGAAAACACAAATTTCGATTTATACAATGAGATGAAATAAAATGAAATTAATTTTCTAGAAAGAACTTTCATACAGGTGATCCTTTGGCCAACAACTGGACAACATCAGACTACCACAGGAATTCAGGATATATATGGGTTTTCTAGATGGAAATCATATCTGATACTATACGTACTGTCTTACATGGGGAAAATATTATCAACAAAGAAAGGGTTTTCATCCCTTCCGTTACGGGTTATTGAGAAAAAATTCCATATTCTTATAATTTATCAAAAACGTCAATTTCAAGAGATACTTTTTACATAGTTTTTTTTTTGGCCTTCAATTCATAAACTGTCCGTTGTGAGGTAAACACTGAACGATGAATTGCTCTAAAAGGACTTGGTGCGTCATGATCAGAATTTACCACAAAGCAAAAGCTTTAACGCCAATCACTTTATCATTGGTGACTAACAAAACTGCGCTATACTAAAGTGAATTTTCACTAAGGAACTGACTTCAAACACTAATAAAAAGCACAAGACAACCAACAGGTAATCAACTTTGTAGTATAAGACAGAATGTTGACAGACAGAACATTTGGCCATTTAAATGGATGTTCAGAAGGGTTTGTGATGTTTCCCTATAAGAGATATGTACCCTAATACATGCGTACTGTAATATCTCTGTATTCAGAGCAATGACGACGTAGATAGTTTCATTGAACAGTGTACATGTATTGAACCTCATCCAAATGACTTTGTTAGTGTTTAACAGAATCGTCAAAGCTGCATTGTGTGTGTCATTCAACAGATTTATATTCATTGAATTCATCCAAATGACTTTTTCATTGTTGATCAGATATTCAGTTTGTGTCGACTATAACTAATCAATATTCGTTAGCAAATTAAATATTATCATGTCCAGAAGTGTTTGTTTAAGGTATGTCACTCGTGAAATTTGTTATATCAAGGATTTTTTGAGAAGTATATTTTGGATAAGTACTCATATAGTATGACTAAAAATCGCAGAGAAAACAGGGGGTCAGTGTGCATCTGACTGAGCTCCGGTACAATTAAGTTGACCTTTTTTGCACTTAAATTTTAACTCTTTGGTTAATCACTTTAACCCTTATCATATTTTATCAGATGTAACCATGGCAATAAATATAATCTTATTTTACGTAAAATAGTTTGAATAATATTTATCATTGAACAAATCTTGCAAATTAATGCGCGTAAATTATTGTGTGACCTTTTTGCACTAAAAAAGTAACATATTTGGGGTATGAAAAATCTAAATAGGCAATAAAATATTTTCTTGTATCAAACTTTTCACGACTTAAGTGCTGATCAGTCACAAGTATCGAGTAGTTTTAAATAATGAAAGAAAAAGTTGGGGTCAGTGATGTAAATTTTGAAATATTGGTCAAAATATGCCATTTTCAGGCCAAAAACGGTGTAAATTTTATCTTGACTTCTTTAATATATCTTCATTTCTCGGCAATTTTTGTTGAGGGAAGGTGTAAAATTTGTTATAAAAATATAAATTAAGACCTATATTTAATATTCCTAGCATATCATAACGGAAAATATTCTCTGAGTAAAAGTATGTGAGGCTAAAATTCCAAGATATTAAATTTAATAAATGTGCAGGTTTGCAGAATTTTCTGCTAAATATCCTTCCACCACAAGAAATAGTCCCTCATAAATCTTGGTTCTTTATGAATTTTTGAGCAGTTTTTTCATTGAATGTTGAACAATTTACATTGCTTCATTTAAATATGTTAGGAAAATTGAATTTTAATAAATAGTTTTGAAGTAAGAGGTTCTGCCTGAACTTTTCTAAAAAGCTGACGAGTGACATACCTTAATCCATTCACAATACTCATTAGAAGATAATCCAAGTTTTGTGTGGTTTTAGTTGATGGCTATTTCCATTCTTATGTCGATACGATATATCCTTGTGAGCTTGAGATAAAAGATACCACAGAGTCTGACACATCTGTTTCATATTTGGATATTTTACTTGAAAAAGACGTTAATAGTAATCTAACAAACAAGCTTTATGATAAACGTGATGACTTTAACTTTTCAATCGTCAACTTCCCTTACTTATGCAGCAATATACCTTCATCACCTGCATATGGGGTATATATCTCTCAGTTGATTCGATACGCAAGAGCATGCTCTACGTATGTACAATTTCTAAAAGGAGGTAAATTATTGACAAACAAGTTAATGAAACAAGAATATCAGCTGTCTCGTTTAAAGTCATCACTTCGTAAGTTCTATGGTCGATACAATGAACTTGTCAGCAAATACAATTTATCATTGAGTCAAAAGCTGACTGACGTTTTTCATACAAATTGTTAGGCCATTATTTACACACTGAATTGTCGACGGATTTTTCCGTTATTTCCCGATCATGACAAGGAGCACACGGCGGGTGTGACCGGTTGACAGGGGATGCTCACTCCTCCATGGCACCTGATCCCACCTCTGATGTTTAGAGGTCCGTGTTTGCTCTGCTCCTATTTTGTATTGTTTAATGGACTTTTGAGCCTGAATACTGTTCGTTATCTTCATATATTTCATGGTAAGATATCAAATGCTGCAGGAAACTTTTTTTTCAATGTTTAGAATATTTCTTGACATAGTTATATTTTTTTCTCTATTTGTTTTGCTTGTGAAAT